TTTTGAGACAGAGTCTCACTCTTTCACCAGGCACCAGGCTGGAGTGTAGTGGCGCGATCTCGGCTCACTGCAACCTCCGCCTCCCAGCTTCAAGCAGTTCTCCTACCTCAGCTTCCTGAGTAGCTGGGACTACAGGCGTGCGCCACCACGCCCAGCTAATTTTTGTATTTTGGTAGACACGGAGTTTCACTATGTTGGCCAGGATGGTCTCGATCTCTTGACCTCGTGATCTGCCCACCTCAGCCTCCCAAAGTGCTGGGATTACAGGTGTGAGACACTACGCCTGGCCTAATTCCACACTCTTAATCCTCTATCTCCAACTCAATCAACAGAGCTAGTCCAACCAACACTTCCGCTTTCCTACTCTTTTCCCTTTTCCACTCTCCAAGCAACTATTTCTTTTTTAGCATTATATTTATTTTAGATTCAGGGGTCTGTGTGCCTGTTTGTTGCATGGATATATCATGTCATGGTGGAGTTGGGCTCCTAGTGAACCCATCACCCAAAATATTGAACACTGTACCCAACAGGTAATTGTTCAACCCTCACCCTCCTCTCTTCCTCCTCCCTTTTGGAGTCCCCAGTGTCTATTATCCTCACTTTTATGTCCATGTGTACACATTGTTTACCTCCCAGTCATAAGTGAGAACATGTGATATCTGATTTCTGCTTCTGAGTTAGTTTACTTCGAATAATGGCCTCCAGCTCCATCTATGTTGTTGCAAAGGATAGTCTTTCATTCTTTTTTATGGCTGCATAGTATTCCATGGCATATATATACCACATTTTTCTTATCCAGTCAACCATTTGTGGACATTTGTGTTGATTCTATGACTTCACTATTGTGAATAGTGCTGGGATAAACCTATGAGTGCAGGTGTCTTTTTGATAAAATGATTTCTATTCCTTTGGGTAGATTCCCAGTAGTAGAATTGCTGTGCCCAATGGTAGTTCTATATTTAGTTCTTTGAGAAATTTTCATGCGGTTTTCCATAGTGGTTAAATAATTTATATTCCTACCAAGCAACTATTTCAAACCTCCTCTTCACCTCCTTCTCCTTTCATTGTAGATTAATGTCTTTTTCTTGCCCTGCTTTAAGAAAAATCCAAGAATCCCTCAAGCACTCCCTCACCTCCTGCCATCACTCATACCAACTCTCCACCATACACTCGCCTGCAGTCTGCCTTCTTTCCTGTTACAATGAATAAGGCATCCCTATTCCTGTCAAATAACACCTCTCCACTTGCACCCCAGGTCTCTCCCCCTCTACCTTCCAAAATGCCATGGTCATAGACAGAGCTGAGCACTCACTTTCACGTTCTTGAAATGTTCTCCTACCTGGCCTCCATGATGCCACAGGAGTGGATTCCCACCAACATCACTCAGCAAGCTGCTTCTCAGTCTCCATTGAGAAGTTCTGGATCCCCTTATTCTTCTTCTTTTCTTTGTTTCCACACATCCCCAAAGTGATGTCAACCAATTTCGTGACTTTACATTTCATCAATATGCCAAATCTAACTAGATTGACTTCTTTTCCAAAGTCCAAAGAAGTTGGAGATATATAGATATATAGATATATATCCAACTACCAATATACTACATCTTCATTTGTATATCTAATAAGCTCTCAAACTTTTCATGGTTCAAAAAAACTCTTAACTTTACTCCATAAAAGATTTCTCCTTGGTCTCTTCCATCTCAGAAAGAGGCATCATCATTCATCGAACTGCCCAATTCAAACATCTAAGGTTTCCTTTGATTCCTCTTGCTTCTTCATTCAATATCCCCAGCCCATTATCTTCCCACAACCCCAACCCACCATGATTTGATTTCTCTACACCACCAGGCTCCTCCAAGACATTGACATCTATTAACTGAACTACTGAACAACTGCTACTGGTCTCCCTGCTTCCACTCTCATTCCCCTATGATATGATTTGGCTGTGTCCCCACCCAAATCTCATCTTGAACTGTAGCTCCCATAATCCCCACATGTTGTGGGAGAGATGCAATGGGAAGTAATTGAATTATGGGGATGGGTTTTTCCCATGCTGTTCTTGTGAGAGTGAATGAATCTTACAAGACCTGATGGTTTTATAAAGGGCATTTCCCCTGCACATGTTGTCTTCCCTGCTGCCTTGTAAGACGAGCCTTTGCTTCTCCTTCACCTTCTGCCATGATTGTGGAGACCTCCCCAGCCATGTGGAACTGGGAATCCATTAACTCTTTCCTGTATAAATTATCCAGTCTCAGGTATTTCTTCATAGCAGTATGAAAATGGACTAATACACCCTACAAATCCTTCTCCAAAGAGGACCCAGAGTGATTATTTTTAAGCATGACCAGATTAAATCATCCCCCTGCCTAACATTCCCATGGTTCTCCCTCCATTTAAAAGCCAATGCCAGTTCCTTATGCTGGCCTGCAAACCCTCTTTGATCTGGCCCCTGCCTCCCCTCCCAGCCTTAGCCAAAATGGCTCCCCCCATCCCCCACTGTGCCCGGCCACATTGGGCTTGCCTCTCTTCTTTAAAAACATCAATCTTGTTCCCACCTTAGGGTCCTTCCCCAGCTACTGCCTCTGCCTGGGATGTACATGTCCCTGATCTTCACATGGTTTGTTCCTTCTGATTAAGTCAGGATTCAGCCTAAATGTCAACCCCTCAGCCTTCCCTGATGACCTAACATTACCACCAGTCACTATCACATCTCCTATTTTAATCCTCTGCCTAACACTATCCCTGCCTGACATTTCTTATGATTTACGCATTTATTTTATTTTAACCAACTAGAATATAAGCCACATGAGAGCGGCAATCCCATCCATCACATTCATTGCTCTGTCCCCAGGCACTTGAGTCAAAATCATCAGATAAATGGACGTTACTGCAATTGCCATAAGCAACTTCTCCTGGAGTCTCCAGGGATCACTGAAAATGCAAATACTCAGCAGTGGCACACTTGTATGAAACACAAATGAAAACCACAGACTGGATGACTAGACAGTAGCCACTACTAGAGAAAGTAAAATGGCAAAAGATGAGACATTATTTTGAGAACTATGACAAACAAATAGAGTCGTTGTAAAGGCCTAGGTTCAAATCCCAGCACTGCTCTTTACTGCTTTTAAGTGGGCACATCTATTGCACTATCTCTGTCTGAGCTTTAAGTTTTCCCCATCCATAAAAGGGGAATGATACATCTCCTAGTGGGATTATTGTGAAGACTGAATGAGACATCGCAGGTGCCCAGTAAGGAGAAAGAATTCAAGCACAGAGACCCATGACAGTCCTGGATTCAGGCTTTGTTGAAAGAAGAAATGAAAGCCGGTCTAATATGAAGAAGTCCAGGGGACCTAAATGTACCAAATTCTAACCCAAGCTCTACACGGCTTCCCCTTCGAACCTCCATTTCTATTCTCACCTCATCTAATACATGCTCTTACCAGGCCCAGGTGTCATTGCCACCAAATGCAGCTCCATGGGTATCTTCTGTATGTTGTTAACAGATATTAACTGCTTTTTCACATGCATGGAGTTTCCTTCCTCATAATGATTATAAATTCACACACATGGTCCCTCCTCTGCATGCCCTTCATATCTCCTTCCAGGATTGCTCCAGTGATATTTCTTTTGAGAGGTTGGCCCAGGCCTCTAGGTGGAATAGACAGGCCCTCCTCTCTGCTCCCAAGTATCTTATCTAAACCGTATCTATCAGGACCATCTAGCCTATTATGTGTTATTTTGTTGGTACATGTCTCTCTTTTTTTCTCTTTCTCTCTCTCTCTCCTTAAATTGTGTTTTTAAGACTCAGAAGTGAGATCTTTAAATTCCAGGCAATTCTTGGCCCAATGGGAGGACAGACTCTGTTCAAAACCCAAGGCCAGACTTGCTTACCTTGTTCTGATTAGCTGGCCTTCCTCTCTTCTACCAGCTAAAAACTCTTTCTTCAAGCCTCTGATGCAACTCATTTCATTGGGTCCCTGAGAAACACAGAATGAAGAAGGTTAACTGGCAAAAAATGTAATCTAATTTAACTAAGATGAATGATTTGGGGATGAAGGGAGAATCAACACTTAAATATATAACAAATTGTTGCCCACAATTAAAAATTAATATAGCAATTGTCCATTCTTCAGAAGTCACAAAAGATGTTCCTTGAAATTGGGCAGAAACATTTAATTATTTGTTTCAAATGAGTCTTTCTAGGCACAAATATACCCCAATAGTATACGATGAAACATAACTGTCCACATAGAAAATATGTGTGGGTAACATGCCAGGAAATCCTGAAGTTCTGACAAAAGGAGTTTTTGTTGAGTCAGAAATCCAATGAAACAACAAAGTTTTAATGTGTCTTCTTGGCATGGCGGAGGGCTGCATCAAATACTTTTAAAATCCAGTTACAGGCCCTTCGTGGAGTGTGTTGTGTGGCATCCTCTCCCCAACAAAGGCCTAGCCTTTGAAAACCACCCTCATGCAGCATTGCAGAAAAACCATCCTCTCCTTACTGTTCTAGTGTGGTTCTGCAATATTATTGTGTATGGATTTCAATATCTGAAGACGGTAATTGATAGGAGAATTCACCAAAGTTTCCAAAACAGTAAAACTGCTTATAAACAATTGTTTGGGAGAAAGTGTAACATAGACTTCAGAGCACAAGTTCAAGATAGGTCAGTAACTTAGCCGTGTGACCAGGAACAAGGAACAAGATAGTTAAAATTCAGAAGTCCCAGTGTTCTCAGCTGTTAAGCAGAGGCAGTAAGACAAACTACCCTTAGAGTGCCATGAGGATTTCATGAGATAATTCATATACAGATTGAGCAGAGGGCACAGGGCACAGGCACATGGTAAGAGACTATTGGCTGGACTGCTGCCATCATTAAAATGCGGGATGGCGATGTCTGCTGCAATGCCAAAACAATGCAGTCCAATGTTCAGGATGGAGAAATTGGTACCAAGACACATCTCGCCAAAACTGAGTCACTATGTTGAAGATCAGGGAAGGGACTGGAGCCATAGGAGGTCAGAAGACAGGCTCAAGGGAGCCTTCAACACAACTGCTGCCACAGTGCTGTCCCTACATCTCACCCATCCCTCCCCAGCCACACTACTGTTCACATCCCAAGAGTCCTGTTTATACATCTGCTCACTGAAAGGCATCTCCAGAGCCCATCCCTGAGCCCAGGAATCTGTCTGTCCACTTGCAGCCACATAAGTGCACAGGTTAACTGAGGGAGGTTTCCAACCAACAGGCAGCAACACACACAAGTGCACATGTACACACAGCCCTGAGCAGAACATCCATACAGTCACTGGCATGAGAAAGAGTCTACAAGCCACATACACATTCATGCATGAATGTGTACGCCCACATGCATACACATGCACGTGCCTGTGCAGCTCCCCAAGTCCCCAGCTGTGTCTGCTCTCCCTCACCCCAGCTTTGATGTCCCTTGTCCCAGCTGTGTTCTATTTCTCTTCTCAGATCATTGGCAGCCCTGGTCTAGAATGGCTTAAGGAGCAAAACTGAGCCAAGAAGGTTTGCCAGATTCCTCCTGCAAGTAACCTGTAGACTCAGGTCTGCAAACAGCATCAAGGGTCTGCAAGGTGGAGCACAGAATTCAAAGGTAGGAGAACTCATGTTGAAACCCCGCTTCACCTCATTATGTCTAATCTTGAGCAGTTCCTTAGTCTTTCTGAACCTGTTTCCTCATCCCCAAGATGGGAAACATCCTGCCCTATGGGATGTGATGATGATCCAGTTGATGTAAGTAAAAGTATTCCGTGATCCATAAGGAGCTTTGTAACCATTAGCTTTTCTGGTAAACACCAAGAACCCTGAACTATTGGTATAAATTCTATTCTGTGATTTATGACTGGGGGTTCATTCTGGAAACAAGAAAGCTAGATAACATTGGCATCCAACGTGAGGACTAGATGAACTCTAGAGAGAGCAGAGTGTCACATGGTTCAGAGAGTGACAGAGACCACAGGGAAAGGGAAAGCCACTGTGGATGCTGTCTTGGGTTTATCTGCTTTCTTTGGAGTAGAGCTGGGATGGGATGGGAGAGTGGAGGGTAAATGTAACTCTTAATAGTTGAGAAACTTGGATTATTTGCCCCTGAGAAGCCTCTAAATGCTATGCCAACAGAACTATCTACCTCTCAGAAGGAGTAAGGGTGAACATGGAAATCATTTTCCTCTGCCCCTCGCAACTCATATATTATCAGAACTGCAAGGGTGACAGAGCCCATGGGGTGAACAGCAATTGGGCCCATAAGGCCTGTCCTAGGCAGGCTGTAAGATACCTCCCAATAATCTCACATCTTGGTATTCACATCCTTGTGAAATCTCCTTCCCTGAGTATGAACTGCATCTAATTACTCACTTCCAATAAACAGAATATGGTCAAAGTAATGGAATGTCATTTCTGAGATTAAGTCATAAAAAAGTTGGCTTCCATCTTGAGTACTCTCTCACACTCTCTCATTCCTCTTGAGGGAAGCCTGCTCCCATATTACAAGCTGCCCTATGGAGAAGCCCATATGGCAAGGAATTAAGAGGGGTTTCCAGGCAAGAGGCAGCAAGAAACTGGGGCTTTTAGTTCGACAATGTGTGAGGAGCTTAATTTTGCCAATATCCATGTGAATGAATTTGAAAATTGATTCTCCACCTGTTGAGCCTTCAGATGAGACCTCATCCTCAGCCAAAGCCATGACTGCAGCATCATGGAGAGACTCTGAGACAGAGGCAGACAGCTAAGACACACCCAGATTCCTGGCCCACAGAAGCTGTGAGATAACAAATATTTGTTTAAGGCAACTAAGCTTTGGGGTGCTTTGTCACCCACCAAGAGATAACCAATACAAAGCCCCTACCAGACATCCCAAGGAAAAATCCCATTCACAGAACTGAGACAGAGAAGGGCTTCTCCTCTGGCAACAGTGGGAGAAATTTCACTGCATAATTCCTTCTTCCCCATTCCGTCTCTAGGGGACACCATTTCTATTAAAGTAAGGGAACCTATATGTAAGTCAAGAATTTAGGTCTATAAGTAAGGGAACCTATATGTAAGTCAAGAATTTAGGTCTATAAGTAAGGGAACCTATATGTAAGTAAAGAATTTAGGTCTATAACATGCTACAGAAACTAAGCTGCTCTTCTAACAAAGCAGACTTTGACAAGTCCATTTTGACGCAGCAGATATACTAGTGTGGCCAGAGTGATTCCAGGTAGGGTATGGATGGGGGGCAAGGTACAGGAGGAAGGCTCAGAGATGGAGAGGTGCTTGCCTTGCACATTACTTGAGAGTTATAGAAAGCTGTCGTTTTCATGGTTTCTTTTGAAGGCTAAGTAAAAATGTTCTTGGCACCAAAATGGCTTTGTGCAAGTCACCAGATCAAAATGTCAGGTTCTATCATGGGACTATTTTATCCAAACCTACTGCATAAACACTGTTTGGGCCCCACCTAGGCCCTGGAGCCAGGAAGATTGCCACTAATCTTCCTTTCCTTACATACACACACACACACATACACACGCATATGCACATGCACACGCACACGCACACAGGCACACAGGGCTCAAGAGTAGGTTTCCAGAATCCAACAGCACAGGGTCTAGAATGGAGTAAGTTTTAAGGCCATCATCCCTCCTATGCCTGAGTTGGATTTGGGCTGTTCTGATTCAGAGGCCGACAGCCGCCTGCCTAGAGGCTGGCACCTCACCAAAGACTCTGTGGAGCCCCAGTCATCATGGGGTCCTTTGGGAGTTTTTCCTGAATTCCTCACCAGCCCAGAACACAAGAATGCAGAAACTATTGTGCATGGTGGACCCAAAGAGTGCCTTTAATTTGGAATCGATCCTGTTTGTTTTCTGAAGCTCTCTGTATCGTTAAAGCCACTGATTTACCAACACTTAATAAAGGGGAGAGTGTTTCCTAGAGCCCTGCATGGTTGTGTGGTCAGAGATGGCAATAGTTACAGTTACCATCATCAGGTTACTCACTGCACAGCACTGAGAGATCGAACCAGGTGCACCAGGGACAGGCCCTTCCAGTCCAGCCTCCCAGCCCTCGCTCTACTTTTCCTCTCTGTACCTCGGTTTTCTCCTGAGTAAAAACGAGGGTTGAGGTCTGCTTCACCCTGTCTCCCTTCCAGCTCGAACCTCCCGCATGCCTGTGAAACCTCTTGGCACAGCAATCCCCAGGAAATGGAATGCACTGGAGTTTCCTAACACATCCCACCGAATGAATTCCTTATGAGCCCAACTTCTGGGTTTGTACTCACCGGGAAAACACTGCAAGCCCTGACCTTCCAAAACCTCGGCTTGTTCACATTCCCGGATGCATTTTCAAAAGAGAAAAGCTAACTTTTGCCCTCTAGGGTGGGAAATGTGAAAGGCACAACAGCAGAGCTCTGAACTGAGACCACAACAAACCCTGCCTGGGCGTGGGGCCCACGGAGCAGGCGCTAACAGCCTTTCCAACCGCAGGGTGGAAATTCTACACCCAGAAGGTGCCCAGATACACCCTGCTTTCGTTCCATCGCCAAATGCCTTAAACCTGTTTCTGTCCCGTTGGAGCTGCAACGTGGAGCCAGAAATCTGGAAGAATTTAACACCCGGTAGATTCAGACACAGGAAAACAGTGTTCAAAGTAAACACTGGAATCCCTCCCTCATCACCCAGGAATGTGGAGCCAGCAGGGTCTGAGCTCAGCAGCTTCTCAGAAAAGCCCCCACTAAGCTGCTCTGCTTTTGGGGCCACAGACTGGGAGGGCCACAAGGGGCTCCACACGCTGTTTTCTGGCCAAGTCAGGGCCGGGGCTAGGAGGTCAGTGCGCGGGGCTTCTCTCCCATGGAAACATGAGCAGCGCTGCCCACAGCCTCCAGCTAAAGAACTCTCTGTTCCCCTACAGGACCCGGCCTGTGTGCAAAAGCCCCTGAACTTGTGAAAGCCCGAAGAAAACAGCGAGGGGCTCAGGATACTGCAAGACTTTTCCATTTCCTTTGCCTCCCAGCAGGCTGTGAAAGAGCCACTTTTCCTCGAAGAAGAAAGAAGGCCCTGTGTGCAGGGCGAGGGCGCAGCCTTTCTAACCAAAAGATGTGTGAGCTGCATGGGATGTGGCCACCAACATTCATTTCGCTTTTGCTGGGACTTAACGAATTCCATCTCTCGGCAGCCATATGCCAGGGTCCCACCCTGTTTCCTCTGGCTCTGGAGAGCAGAGAGGAAGGACCTGCTTTACCCAGGGGTCTATAAGGAATCTCAGAAAGACACTGCCTTAAATCGCCTCTGTGTCACTGCATCACCTTTGTGACACCTTTGTGTCACTGTGTCCCTCTGCCTAAAATTTCACCTAAATTCCATTTGCGAAGATGCAGGCCTGAACCGAATTGTCGGAAGGTTTCTCACAGTCAGGGTAGAGAGGGACACCTTCAGATTAGGAACGTTCAAGGAGAAGAATGCAGAGAGTGCAAAGAAGCCCACGGGGCCACCTGAAGCTCTCAGTAGAGTACTGCTTGGTGGCGGGGCTGCTGGTGGCAGCAGAGGCAAATCTGGTCATTGTGAAGAGGCCAAAGAAACAAACCACTAAATGTCCAGCATGGCGGTCTGTCTCGTCCTGGCCCTCAGCCCTGCTGCCCTGACAGCCACGACATTCACCCATTCCTGAGCCCTGAGGGATCTACCACCGGAGGCTTATTAATCCACTCATTTAATCTGAATTACTGAGGGCCTCCTACTGAGCCACGTGAGCAGGAGGGTTGCTGTCCCTGCTCTGGGGGAGCCTGGATAATCCAGACCAGAGGCTGTCAAGGGGTAGCCCTGGGACCACCATCCCCAGCAGCAGCAGCATCAGGGAGTTCGGTGGAAATGCAATTGATTGGGTGTCACTTTAGCCCACTGAACCAGAAACTCTGGGGGCTGGGCCCAGCAATCTATTTTCACAAGGGATTCTGCTGCTCATGAAAGTTCAAGAACCATTGAGCAGGTCTGCCAATGCCTCACTTGATAATAAAGAAAATCTGAACGTGTCATGATTTGCCTTGGGGAGGTCACAGACATGGGGTGACAGTTCCTATGCTCCTAGACTCAGAACAGCTGTGCCAAACTGTGCTGTCATTTAGAAATTTTTGGTTCCAGTTTCAGGAACGCTTTTTCCACCAAATTCATGGTGTTTTTTTTTTGTTTGTTTGCTTGGTTTTTTTTGGCACAAGAGGCAGGAGCCTCCCCTCCACTCATGAACAAAACAAATGGGGCTTCTTTTGACTTGTAGCACTCACCCCGACTGCGGTTCTGCCACCCTTTCTGAAGGTGGCTCTGAGAAGCCATTGCCACTGTTGTCTTCAGGGACCCCTCTCTGTTCCCTCATTCTCGGTAAGTATCAAGAAACGTACACAGCCAGGCTTTTCTATTGAGCTGATTTCTAAAGAGATGCATCAACCAATGAAGTCGAATTGCCTCCATTCTCTCAGCAGATGATGTCCACGCTGCCAAATGGAATGATCTCCTTTGCATCTTCTGCCTATCCCATCTGACCTGTTGGCAAGGGAGCCCGCAGGCCCCTTTCTCCTGCATCCAGCAGCTCACAGGCCTCTCTTCTCAGGCCTGATGCTGGCCCCTGCTCCTCTGCTCCTCTGCTCCACTTAGGGTAAGGGAACCCCTGTCCCTAGCACCCTTCACGTCTTCATCTGCAAACTCATCACAGTGCCCAGCTCCCACGTGTGCGTCTCTAGCCACGGGCTCTACCCTGAACTGCAGGTCTCCTATGCAATCCCTGCCAGACATCTCCTTACAGATGTTGTATAGGTACCTCAACCTACGTCCTTCAAACAGCTTCCGACACCTCTCGCTCCCACCACATCCAAAACCTGCTTCGCTACTGGCCTTCCCCCAGTTAATAACCAGCACCCCTAACGAACCTGTTGCCAAAAAACTAGGAATCTTCTCCTCTTCCCCTCATCTTCAAAATCCAAATTACCAGCAAGTCACGTCACCCCAACCTGTAAATGTCCTAAATCCTTCATTCTCTTTATTCTACAATGATGACAGCCACTACTGCTGCTAGTACTGATAACATAAAAATAACTCACACCACAGGAGTTCACGTTTTATACATATTCACTCATCGAGCCTTCCCAGCAAACCTGTGCATTAAGTGCTGGGCTATCCCCTCTTACAGAGGGTAAAATTGAGGCACATAAAGAGGGTTCAGTGACCTCCTGAAAGCCATACATCTAATACAGTGGAAGCAGAAATCCACGTGATCAGACATGTTGCCCCAGTGCTGCCCAGTGTCTGCCTGGTTGCCCCCACAGCCTCCAAACTGGCCTCCCTGCTTCCACTCTTGACCCTGCATAATTTGCTTCATCCACACAGCAGCCAGAGTGATAGCTTTCAAAAATCTGCACCAGTTCACAGCACTCCCCAACACAAACACCCCTTTCCAAGGGTTTCCCCAGAGCCCTTGGGATGAAATCCAAACTTCTTCCGTGGCTGCTTCTGTCCATCTCTTAAGTCTCTCTGTCTCTGTCTTTCTCTCTCTCTCTCCCTCTCTCTCTCTCTTTCTCTCTCTCTCCCTCCCTCGCCTTTCCCACCCCCGACCACCCTCCAGCCACATTGCCATCCTCTGGATCCTCAAACTCACCAACCATTTCCTCCCTCTGGAATGGCTTTCCCTCGATTTTTACATAGCTGGTGTTTGATCATTTAAATCTTAGCTCAGTGTTGGCTTCCCAGAAAGGCTTTTTCTAACTTCCTGCTCTCAACGAGCCACTCAGTCCATCGCTATCACTTCCCCTTGTTCCATTTTCCTGACAGCACTTAGCGCTATCTGAAATTATTTAACATTTGTTTGTTTACGATTTATTTTCTGCCTGCCCTCTTAGAACTTAAATTCCACGAAAGGAAGGAATCGTTCTGTCTTTTCTCTCATGTATATCCCAGGACCTAAAACTATAACACAGAGCCCTGTTCCAGGCAGCACAGAGAGAGCAAGGCGAAGGCAGCAGAATCCAGGGAGGAAGTCGGCGTCCGCATTTCCACTACAGCATGCCGGACGCCACAAGGACAGAGGAGCGATTCCTCCCCCAGCCTAGGAAAGCTGGGAAGACTTCTTGGGGTAGATGACTTGAGTTTTTTATTTCAACATTTATTCTGGACCACACCTGCCAGGTACAGTGATGGATGAGACCAGTGGTCTGCTTTCTTAGTACCATCACCTAGAGAGCCTTTTAGAATACAGACTGCTGGGTCTCACGCCCAGACTTTCTGATTCTGGAGTAAGACCTGGAGTAAGCACCAGGAGTCTGCATCTCTCACTGATCTCCAGGTGAAGACCAGTGTGATCTAAGGACCACACTTTGAGAACCACCAGGTTGGACCATTTCCTTGCCACAGATCACCATGAGTATGGCTCAGTCCAATGCTGTGTGCCACGTGCTATGATAGAAATATAGGCTACAGATAAAAGGAATCAGTGGGTGCTTCTTGGAGGAGCTGGAATCTAGGTTTTGTTTTGAATAATGAGTAGGCATTACTGAAACAAATCGGGGATGGAAAACAGGAAACACTTGAGGAAAAAGGACAAAGTAATAGACAGTCTTAAAAATTCAAATGTATTTCAATATTGCTGAAGCATAAAGCATAAAACGAAGACTGGCTGAAGGTGAGACTGAAGTAAACCCCAGATTGGAGTCCCTTAAAAACATTAGTAGCAGAAGGCCAGGCTATGTAAAAGCCAGGTGAGCACAGCACACTTAGGGAACTGAAGAAACGGTGACCAACACAGAGGTCACCAAGGGTCAGGGGTGAGATCTCTAGCAAGAAAAGATTGTAAAGCAAAGTAGAATTCAAACCATGGAAGGACCCCACCTTGGGGCTGGGTCCTATGGGGAAACGGAGGGTTCCTTCGCTGGAGGCTGCAGACAGAATTGCCCGGATGCATGGGCAGCCATTCAGTAGAATACTATACAGCAATGAAAAGAAGTAGGCTGTACCTACGTGCAGCCACGCGAATGAATCACACAAACGTAATGCCGAGTGAAAGAAGCCAAGCACAAAATGGTAAACATGAGTCTATGCCCATAGAGTTCAAAAAACAGGCAAAATACAGGTTTAGAAATACATTTGGTGCAAAGCAAGGGTGTGATTTCCATAATCAGGAGAGTAGTGACCTCTGAGGACTAGAGAAAGAGGTTATTGATCGGAGGAGGAAGGAAGGAGGTTTCCAGAAGCTAACAGTGTTGTATTTCCTGTCATGGGTGGTTGTTACCGAGTGTGCACTTTAGACACAACACCAAGATGTAAGCTGTATGTCTTTGCTTTGAGCACTTTATATTTCAAATTCGTTTTTTAGAAAATAAAGATATAAAGATGGCTGAGCAGGGGATGGGGTGAGAGAAGGTGGACAGGAACAGAGCACTAACTGCTAGAATGAGGGAAATGAAGATTGTCAAGAGCATGACTGCAGGGCTGT